TCCTGATTTAAAATATGTTCATGACTTAGAACACGTTCTTGATGATAAGAACACCTTCCTGATTTTAAAGCTTATTAAGCTAATATCTGTTTCGTTCCGTTCTGTTCCAATATATTTAAGAACGCGTTCTTTGCGTTCAGTTCATTTTTCGGAAAGATATGATTGTTCTTGATAGTTCCGTTTGTTCAAGAACAACGCCCAGCCATACCCCCGGCCCATATTGTTTACGCTTTTTAAAAAATGCATGTAGGTAAAAAAAGTAGTCTCTGTTTGTCTGTCCAATCATAACTCATTAGTTATGAACCCAAAGTGAAGTGGATTGACTATCACTTTGATTGATTATTGCATGGTAAAAGTTTAGTTTCCAGAAAAATCTGGGTTCCCGAGCTAGAATACAAAAAGTGTATTCAATAAGTTTTATTTACAAAAATAATTTACATTTACAATTTAACAAAAAAAATTATCATCGTTTAAATTGGATAACAGGGCGACCAGAAAATCAGAACCATAAGAAGGGGGGCATCCTGTGAATGTGATAAATGTGTTCCCGGGCATACAAGGTTAATGTTTCACGATTTTACAGAAAATTGTCAACAAAAGTTTGGTCTAATGAATTTAGGCGAGTGAACATATAGAGCTGTAAGCATACTACCCCCCCCCCCCCCTCCTGCCCTAATAATTTCACAATAAGAATGTAAATTAATCTCTTCATGTATCTCAATCTTAATCTCAACCCTGTAACGTTGGGATTTCCAAAATTTTATCGATTATTTTTGGTACCTTCAGAACAGATAAAAGTTTTAAGTTCTGTCCCGTTTAAACTGAATTGCGATACACATGTTTTTAAGACTAAAAAGTTTTGAATAAACACTGAAATTGAATTGAAAAGACGTTTTGTGAGCTTCTTCTTATGTTTATTGACCCTCCAGAAACTACTCGAAACAGTTTCAGCCAACGCCAACTTAAAAAAAAATGTATAACATTATTTCAAAATTTTTTTTTTTGCGATTTCATTTTATTTCAGTTTCTTGTTTACGTTTAATGTTTAAGCTGACTTGATATCTAGATCTTCAGTGTCTCGTCTGTCCTAAAACAAAACAAATGTCTGAAAATTGTGAATGTATTACACCACAATCTATAAAGCTTGGCTTATCTGTTTGTTTGTTTGTATGCAATAAACGTAAAAACACGTAACCGATGGGGATGGTCGAAAGATAAACATTTTGCCTGGACATAAAATCCATCAATTTAAACAGAAAAATCGGCATAGTCATTTTCTCAATTTGTGGCTTGAAAATCAAGAATCTAAAGAAAAAGCGCAATTGTATTTTAAATAGTTTAAGGACAGCCGGAGGGTAATAAATCATTATTGCAGGCAATTATGTACAATACATAAGGCGAACATTTTTCGCACACTAAGCATTTTTTGTCTTTCTGTAAAAAAAATAATATTTTGATGAAATAACTACTTCTTTTCTTACAAAGCTTAGATTGTAACCAACTAAATTTTAAATAACATCTAATTTGTAAGTAAAATTCACCGAAGGATAATATATTGAAAAACTAAAGATAAAATTTAATTCTTTTTCAAAGTAATTTTCTTAGGAAAAAAAATTACCTAAGATTAAAAGATTTAAAATGGCTGCCTTTCTTTGTTGAATAAAAGCTTGTTTGAAAATAAAAATGAGAAACTAACCTGGTTTTGAATTGGCTGAGCTATGTTTAAACTATTCAACTGCTCCTGCACCGTCGTAAAGTTTCTGAAAAAGCATTAAAAGAATAAATCACAAATCATGAAAGGGGGAGAAATATTTATAAAAAATTGATCGTCACAGAATTTCTTCTGGAATTATTTATAGCTTTAGTTTACATGGCTTTGACACAAAAATTGCTATGTACCTGGTAGAGTAATGACATTTGAGATTGATTTGAGATTTAAATTAAATCTTTTTCGTGTTGTTATTACACTACTCAACAGTTCACTCTGGCATAAGATAAAACATAAATTTAATATTAATAGAAATGCAAGGCGCTTCGCGCCCTTCTTTCTAAGCTTTTAGGGCGCTTCGCGCCCTAAAACTATTTAAATTGTGAACATGTTTTTTTTCTTTACATTTTAAAACAAAGAAGAACAAAATTTTGCGGATTTTAAAAATAAATTCGCGGATTTTCATGAACTTCATTTTTTTACAAAATTAAAAACCTTTAAAACACATTTTTAAAATTTTTTTATCATTCATAAACCTTCCCTGTGGTCACGTGTTGTCACACAAAAAAAGTTGGGCCCGATCGGATCAGCCGTTTTGACGTTTATTGGATACAAACAAATAGACAGACAGACAAGCCAAATTTATATTTAGATATCGCGCGTATATCTGTTGAAAAGTGGACAGGGGCGGCAGGTTTCCTAGAACTGGACTGTCGGATCTTCACAACAAAAAAAAAGAAAGTAAGCTTACAAAAATCCTATTCAAGACAAAAAAAGACAAAATCTACAAAAAATGAAGGAAATGGGGACAAAATATGAATCGTCTCTGAAAAAATGTTTATGAGGATCACTCTAAATAAAGTTGACTGTGTGAATTAAGTTTACCTGGAGTTAGCTCTAGCTGCTATAAGAAGTGTTGTATTGTTAGCGGAGTTTAAATCCATCTGTGTTGAGTGTCTGAAATATAATTATTTAATAAGATAGATTCTTCCCATACAGGGTAACCCACAAAGGATGAGACTTTAAAGACGACCTAATACTCTTTAAATATGACCGTCCCAAACTCAACCTCAGGCCAGGCGAAATCACACTTGGCAGGGTTGATGCTGAGACCATGGAGGCAGAGACGGTCAAGAACAATAAAAAAAAAGTTTTTAGTTGCAGAGAATCATAAATATAATAAAATAGAAGGTATAAATTCAGTACAATCGTCTCTGAAGTCTCATCCTATGTGGGTAACCCTGTATCTTGACATTATAAGAGGTAAGAATGATGCAGGAACCAAACAAGAGATGTTTACGAAATAAGTGTACTGCGCTTATTATTAGGATTATAAACAGAACAAAGCCTGATTGTTTTTTTGAAGTTATCTAACACCCCCCCCNGAAGATTCCAACGATACTTGTCTTAGGTTTCATCAAATCAAATAAATTTTAAAGGGAGAGATCGGCTAGCATTGCATTTGAGCTGAAAGTGCAGTATTGTAGAGATTAACTTAAGGATTCATTTGATTTCCCCGTGTTATTTAAGAATTGTAATAAAACGTTTCTACTGCTGACTGAAACAAATCGTAAAATATTACTTTAGACTTTACGCTCTTAATTAAAAATTGTACACCGTAATAATGTCTAATTGGTATCAAATACGCGCATCCTCAGGTTATTCTCTACAATACTGCACTTTCAGCTCAACTACCATGCCTATCCGGTCTCTCCCTTTAGATCTGAAAGGGAACCCAAAGTCGAACCCCCAGACTGCCTTCAGGGCGCTACACACCTAGAGTTGTTAATCTTTTTTGAAAATGATCGTTAAACGATCTTTTTTTGTTTCGTTTTTTGATAATCGTTTTAAAAACGATCGTTTCGTTTTCGGAAAAAATGATCGTTTTTAAAAACGAACCACTCGTTTTGAACTTTAAGATAACGAATAACGATCGTTTTTGAAAACGATCAGCGATCGTTTTTTACATGATTGTTTAAAAAACTATCGTTTTTGAAAAAACGATCGTTTTTGAATTTTTTTCTTTAATTAATATGTTAACGATCGTTAACGAAGGGTTGTCGTTAACGATCATTAACTAAACGACGAACTTTCAAAAACTGTCGTTTTTGATAAAACGATCGTTTAATTACATGCAACTTTATCGAATGTCGTCTTATGTTGTGGGGGAGCTAAAACTTCTTGATATTTTCTTTAAAACTGCTCAATGATAAGTATCGATGCCCTTCAGAGCGGTTTCCTCTCTCCTCCTCGTTAACGATGGGTCGTCGTTAACGATCGTTAACGAAACAGCGAGCTTTATAACAACGGTCATTTTGCAAAACGATCGTTTCGTTTTCGTTTTTTTGTCGCCGTTTTCATAACGAAACGATCGTTTTTCAAAAAAATGAAAACGTTAACATCCCTATACAGTATACACACCAATGCACCATTTGGTTAGACACTATAACTAGACTCAATAAATGGCAGAAAATACAATATCTCACAAATTCTTTATTCAATTATTTTCAAATCGGAACAAATTTTAAGAAGTTTAAATCTAAATTTATCATGAAATTTCGAATGTGAAAAGAGATGCAGGGACAGGGGTGCTGTAACCAATTCTTTTAAAATAATTTTTTGAACCTAATCTACTAAAATAAAAAAGGCCAAAATCTTAAAAACTATGAAATCTATTAGATCTATTAGTTTTAGTTTGATTTTGAAAGGTTTACAAAATCAGGTTGCAAAGATATAGGGATAAGAAAATTTTTAATGTGTGGCAAAAACTCAGTTCTTTTAATTTTTAATTTTATTTTTTATCTCAAATCGTTTCTTTTAAGTGAAATTAATTTTAAAATAAAGTTTAAATTACCTTTTATATAATGCGAGGATAGCAGTCCCCTGTACCAGAACCCCAACTGCTATAAATACCATACACCAGACAACAACATTTCGGTGGTAGTTCCCGTGCTTAGCGTAGAAATTAGGATCCTAAAAATGAATAATGAAAATAATAATCACTTTAATCATCATAATCATCTTCATGAAAAAAAATTATAATAACAATAAAATTAATAATAAAAACCTGTTTTCTAAACCCCATCGCAGCAGCACGTTCCTCGAAAGACATTGGTCGTGTGCTGGAATAAAAAGATTCAAATCTCGTATTTCATAGAAAAAAATTATTTTAAAAAGTATTTTTCCATTGGAAGTCAAATTATCAACATCATCTTTCAACTTTGTTTAAAAACCAAAAAGTGAGACCATCAAAGATGTTGTAGTGGGAGCATAATATGGGGGTGAAGGTGGTATTGGGACTAAGACCCCTCCCCCTAATTGCAATTGCAATTAGGGGGAGGGGTTGCAACCAAATAGTTTCTTACTTGAAATGATGTGGAGAGTCAGTTTTGATTTCATCGCCACCCTTCCACCTAGACAAACAGAAAATTGGGCTCTCTTCTCTTTTAAAGCGATCGCGACCACTAGTTCATTTCAGAGAGTATATAATCTAT